TATTGAAATGAATTTCAATTCACTTGTGGTCTCGCGCGATGGCAAATGTACCTTTTTTTCAATACGTAATTTCGAGCACGTCCTTACTGTTTGGCAGTACAAAAGAAAAGAAAAAGCAATGCTACTGCGTGTCGGTGCATCGGGTAACCTCCAGTGTTGCCGTTTTAGCCCTTTGGTGGCTAAATTTGGCTACCAAATTCTTTTTTTGGCCACAAAAATTTGAAATTGCCCCTAGCCCTTTTCAAAATTTATTTATTGACATTAAAATTTTTTATATGATTTTCATGAATTTAACTTTTCGCTCATAAAGCGAACGCCTTTCCTTTAAGGCAAATAAACTGTTCATTGTGACGCTAGCTTAAGTGGTGGAAAAAGTTTGTTTATCGGTTGCTTCTTTTACCTTTAAGTAACGCAGAAGTTGAAAGGACGTTTTCTATAATAAATTTCGTTAAAAATAAGCACAGAAATAAAATGAATTTTGCAATGTTAAACGCTTTATTAACTGTAAGATATGGCTTAAAAAATGTACAGAAATGTTGTCATGATTTTGATTTTACAGATATATCGTCAGGTTAATGAGAAATGAACAAAATTGTAACGACGAAGAATCGCTTAGCGATGATAGTATTGATATAGATATAAATATTTAATGTGTTAAAAAAAATGTTTATAGATTAAATTATTTTACTATGAGTTCATTAAATGAATACTCTTTTGTTTGTTTGATATATACAGCGTCGGACAATAATAAAGCACCGACATTTTAATTCTTTGTAAATTATAACATAACATTTTAAAAATTTCTTTTACAAATGGATATTTTTCGAAGCATAGGTTGAAATTATTTAAGTTATTTAGTATTGTCCGACACTGTATATAGATATGATTCTAGTACTTATGTATTCTTAATGTGATCTCATTTTTTTGTTTGTGTAAGAAATTAATTTTTAAACTGTACATACATATGTATATGTATGTTTTTTACGTTTCTGGGCCGTTATCTTATCCATTAACGATTTAACTATACTTTGAAATATGTAAGTTGGCGACCCTTAATATGCTTTATGTGTTACACAACAAGTTTTTTTGTTGAATAAAATATTAATTCTTTCCAGAGTTCATTGTTTTTCTATATCATTACTTATAGAAAATGTTTGCGTGTATACTTATATATTTATATGTAGGTAAAAAAATTTAGCTACCATTTTTAGCCACAACGACGATTTTTAGCTCTTTTTTAGCCCTTTTTTAGCCTGAATTTAGCTACCGCTAAAAATGTTTCGCGGCAACACTGGTAACCTCTCGTAAATTATTATTTCGCGCACCGGTTAATTTCCAAGGCGCATATACATACACATGTATGTATGTAGGTATGTGTGAATTAGGCTGACAACCGACTTAACGCGATTTAGTATACATTTTAGAATATTTTGATGTGATAATTTTGTTCTAAATATATCAGATCAACAACTTAGTAGTATTTGTGGTTCAAATGGTAAAATATATGCCCAAAAACTTGAAAAATATTAGATGATTGTTTTTTAGAAATGCTATTTAGTAAATTTCGTTTTGATTTCGACATTAGAAATATTCAGATTATAAAAGTTTTTCACATATGTTTTAAGATTTTAAAAATTTTTAAAAGTACGGTAGAATGCAACAATGTGGTTGAATTTGTTTGCATCTTCGTCAGCTTATTCGTTTGCAGACTAGAAAAATGGCGAACAGCCATCAAAATACTAATTCAAAATACACAAAAATGGGTGCGCGCAGCAAAATTCAGCCCTAACGGTAAGTTCATTTCATCGTGCGGCGACAAGTTAAGAATTTGCGATACATTTTCAGGCGAATGTATGCGAACGTTCACCGGGGGAAGAGGTATGGGACGACAGCTGGCATGGCATCCAGACGGCAATCTGGTGGCTTTAGCATTAAGTTGTAACCATTTTTTTCGGATTTTGGCATTCGGGCGAGGTGGTTCGTCGCGTTTTTTGTAGTGACTGTGTATCTCCCACGTTTCTTATTTGTCTTGTGTTAGAATCGCAAAAAATAGAATAAAGGGCTTTCTGTGTGGGAAGCATTCTTTGTGCGCTTGCATGCAAGCTAACTTAAACTAATTTAAACAATATAATTGTGCGTCGCGCTAATAAATAGCATAAAGTAAATTTTTCATTTGGGTGCAGCTTTGGCTAATTCAGGTGAGTTTTTGGCTCGATCATTTTAAATATAGTTCCAATATAAATCGTGTGCTTTAATCCCTCTTTTTCACTCTGAAAAAGACTCTTTTTCAATTGTGCCAAAATTAAAAAAGAAAAAACTGCCACTTGTGGCAGGCAAGAAAAAGCCAGCCGTAATGGCGACGTCGACCGCATGGTCGGCGACGCCAGAGGCTGAAGACTCTGAAATTGGTGGTACATCCAAGAAACCGAGAATTTTAAAAAATGAAAAATTTACAAATTTCTATGAGCTCGCCAGCGCGGGGGGGCTCGTAAAAATTGGCGGGAATCCTGGCGCCAAAACGTCAGAAAATCCCAGCAATAAAATGTCGGTAAATTCCAGTAGCAAAATGGAAGATTCCAGTAGCATGGAATGTGAGAACAGGCATGAAGGTGAAAAGGGCATAGAAGCCCCGTTACAAGAGACTGACAAATGTGTAAAAGAGAATAATGAAAGTGTGATTAGAACAGTACTGTACCCAGCAAATTTCAATGGGGAAATTTTTGTACTAGTTGACTCCTCTGAATGTCCCAACCTGAAAAATGACAGGGTTACCACTGGCTTGACTCTTTTCAGCCAAATTAAGGATTTAAGGCACATTGACATTGACTACATTTTTTCATTAGGTAAATCCCTTTACAAAATTACGTTCAAAAATACGTATGC